GTGTACACGGTCTTTCCGATTCGCCATTTTGAGGACATCAGCATAGCTATGGAATTTACTCCAACCAACAGCCCTTCGCAAGTTCAGACTGGGAATTGTGTTGCATATTTACTTTTATATATCTATATATGTATGTATATATATGTGTATAATGTAGTGCTAGTGATAATATATAATAGCATTGCTTCTAATAGTTACATACGTAATAGCATTGGCTAGGATAGGGAAACTGGAGTCCACTGAATTGCCTACGTAAAATGCATCACTTTCAAAAATTGCCTAGCTGACAAATATACTGGACTTACTTCACTGAGTCCAAAAGTCCACCCGCGACGAATCTTCTCTTTTGCCCATACATTATGTGTGTTTTTGGCTAGGGCATCAATAAGCGGGAACATGCTATCGTCAAGCGATATTTCATGGGCATCCAGCGGTTGTGGCTTGAAGCCATTGCTTTGCTGATAACTGAAAAACACCGCTAATCATACAAACTATTCACTGACAATGCCATACAAACCATACAAACTTGACAAAGCTATTAATAGGACTCATGTATTATTTGCATATTTAACTAGTTCCTTAATAATCTGCACCTCCCCTCCTTTACCGCCTCCAATTAAATTTCCCATTATTTTTCCAGTAATGCTGATCTCGAGATTGAGACCGTTTTCTAAATGCATACGAATCGGATGGAAATCGAATTACTCGCCTTCACATCCGGATGCGATGGGCTGTATCACTCCTATGCTTGCCGAGCATATTTCTCAACTTCTATCAGTTATTTTTACGCATGCCGTCTTTTAGCCTAATTTATGCGAATCTCAACAATTTGATTTGCCCCAAAAGAGACGACAAGGTTGATACAGCACCTGCGCCTCGATTTTTAGGACAAATCAACAAGCTGGTACAATTCCTACGACAACTGGTATCATTAAACCACTCGCAAATAGCAGATTCTTACTTCTGTGGAAGACGAATGGGTCGCAAACGAACCGGCGGTTCATCATTGATCATACGATATCCAAGAGCATCGATTGTTCTAAAAAAAAAGAACCAGTAGCTGATGAAAATGATAATAACATGTGATAAAGACTAACAAATGGGGAGAGTTTGTAAAATGTAATGTTCACATTGAAGGACCAAGAAATTTCATTTAAAGAAAACAGTGCGTTCTAACACCACGAAAATCAAAATATTTTTACAAATTTCAGCCTTCTAGCTTCCAAAGTTCTAAAATTTAGAGTATTTGCACCTCCGTCCTTTAAAAAATTTTAACATGCATGTAAATTATCTAATTCTTTTTTGAAGGCAAAACTTGCAGTTACTCCTAAAATACTGTAAAAAATACTGTAAGTATGATGTTACTTCATGGTATCAATCGCCAAATTGATATTGTAGGTTTTCTCATTTTGAGGCAATTGCTGAAAAGTAGTTAGACATGGATGACGACGTGTTCTTTCATCTCTTACCTGCAATATGGCGTCTTTTACATTATCAGTTGTATATTTGACAAAGTGAAATGCAGTGAGGAAAAAACAGCAGATTAAAGTATCGTAGTGAATTAACAACTCTTTATTAGCAAATTGCTCATGGTATAAAAAGTTATTAACT